GCTATGCTTCATGTGCTTTATGCTATCAGTATAATTTCTTACCATCTTCACATTAGTGTCTTTCCCACCCAAAGTAAAACATATTTTGTTTACCTACTCTGAGCATATAAGATAAGGAAATTATTGCGGTCCTTTCACCACAATATTTCTGAGGCTCGAAGGAGAAAGAAATGTAGTATTGGATCTTGAAAATCTTTGGCTTTAAACTGATAGGATCTGGAGTCCTTCAAGACATTTATTTCATTGATGATATTTTATCACTAAGCTTCTCAACCTGTATCTGCAAGACATGAGCTGTCACTCCACACCTTAGTTCCTTGAGGTAGCCTTATTAAGAACACTTGTAATACTCAGTTCAGAGTTGGGGCCCACATACCATTTTTAAGTTATTCTGAGGTTATTTCCCCCAGGAGTAGTTTTTCCATTTCACCCAGCCCTCCTGGGTTTGAGCCTCTTTGTGGCTTCTAAGTACTTGACCCATACAGTTTCTCAAAGTCCTTATTGCAATTGTGACCTTTCTCACATCTTATCCTCACACTGGTATTCCTGGTAGAAAGCTTTCTAAAACTCCAGACCCTGGCAAGGAGTTTGGCATAAGGCTAAATAAACATTTGTTGATTTAAGTGAATAAATTGTGCATCTAAAAGTCTCTGGGTAGTCACTGAAAAGTGCTATAGAATTGCTGGCTGTTAGTTGTTTGTTGTTAATAACTGATAATGAGAAGAGCTGGCTTCTAAGAATATTTCAGCTGTCACTAAAGAAAAGTCAAGGCGAAGAAAATGGATTCAGGGCCTGAAAGGCCAGCTTAGTTATGCCAGATAATTCAAGTGAAGTCCTTAATTTAGAGAGCTTTGCTGTCATGGCAACCTGATTACAATGTGAAGGGAGGTATTCTTACCATGTTTCTACAAAGTTGCATTCTTTCATAAGTCCCAAATTAAATTCAGAGAAAAAATTTGGAAAAAAAAGAAAAGAATACTTTTACTGAATTCTTTTTTTTTCCTAAATCATCTTTTGTACTATTAATATATGATCACAAAATCCAATGGGACACTTGTCACCACCCAGTAAGAGCCAAAGTTTTTCTTAAACCATCACTCAGAATCAAATAACTTACCTGCTTAAAATTTCACAGTGACAACATACCATAGCTGTTTACAACTCTAAGCTTTTTAAGTTACCTGTTCCCTGCAAAATTGGGAAATAAATGCAAGATGATGCATATTTCATTTGACAAATAAGCAATGAATAGGTGAAGAGGGACTTAAATGCATTCTACTTATTTCCCTGCCATGTATGGTTGATGACATAAAATATATGATTTATTTTCACTTGCATAAGGCAATGGCTACTAATTATAGAAAAAGTGAGGCTGGAATCCACTTCTCCTTTTGCCACACAGTGCTCCTTCATAACATGTTCATTCTTACTCGTGTCATTTTTTCCCTTAAGTTTCTCAATATAAACTATTACAGACAGACTCTCTGGATATAGGAAAATAAGAATTAATTAATTATTAATTAATTAATTAATATTTGTATCTAGTCAAAGAGATCAATAAATGTCACATCTAGAAAAATTACTCAAGATTACATGTGGTCAGATTTTCTCTAGCTGTAAAGTATAGTAATAGTAGGTCATTATTATCATTATTTTTGAACATCCCCTCTGTCCCAGGCTCTTTAACACAGTTATCTGTCTTCCTCACAATATGTCAGCAAGGTAAGTTTTATTAGCACCACTTTTCAAGTAAGGAAAATAAAATGTGGTGTATCATGGACATTGCCCAACATCACACAATCAGAAAGGATTAAGGACAGAATTCGGACCAAGGTCACCAACACTAGCATCTGTGCTTTCTCTGGTATAGAGCACCACACCCCTCTGTAGATAACAATGGGAGAACTATAATAATCCCTTGTGCCTGTGTTATTGAACTTATCTGCTTATGTAAAATTTTCCATGGTCATACTGTGAGATGAGTACCAGGCCAATCTCTGCCACTGTAAAGAAACAAGCTGACAGTGATGAGGTATGTTGGAATGCATTGTTATAACAGAAACAAATCTTTATTTACTCGGCTGGAACTAAGAATACATCAATTCTGGCCATAGAGTATTAGAAGAAAAGCACCAATCTGACATGTAGAATTCGGATAATCTCTATACTAGTTAGGCAAAGAGGAGAGGAACAAAACATAAGACAAAAATGAAACATTATGCATTTGTTTCCTCCTTTTGCTAGAAACTGGCATCTTAGGAAGCTTTACAATTATAATTAACTATTGTGCATTCTCTGGCTTTGAGATGGCATAAAAACATTTAAAAGCAAGAGAAAAGCCCATTGTAAGGGCTTAGAAAGTAAAAAGTAAGTCATTTAATTTTTCTTTCATCTGATGTTAATTTATGCAGAAGCTAATAATATATTTGTGGCTCAGAGCTGTTCATTGTAGGGAGGGATTCTCTCCCAACCAGCCTTTCGTGTGACCCCTGCCAGATAAAGCCATCATTTCAAGCCTTATGACACTTTTGTCAGAGAAAGGCAATATGCTGATAAATTCACATCCTATAGAAACATTTAATTGCTAACCTTTTGAAAACCAATGGGCTTAAATACTCTAATCCTTCTCTAGCTGTTACAAACAAAACAGCAAACAAACAGAAAGAGAAGGGTGAAGCAGAAATTGCTTCTCCGGGTGCATGGTCAGGTGGAAAGGGCGGAGTACTGTTGACTATTGAGGGAGAAAAGTCAGGGGAAGGAGATTTCATAAAAGAAACATGGGTATTTTTATATCCAAGTAGGATATAATTAAATTATGCCTTTTATAAATGAAAAGTTTGCATTCCACTGGTGCCAAATCACCTATGGAACAGAGACAATAGTGCTTGAAGGAATGAATGCAGAATCTTCAGAAGTTGAGGTTTTAAATGAAATTCACTATGAATAAAGAAAGTCCCATAATGACAGCTTAAAGGTCTAATTCATAAAAATGTTATTACATTATTTATACCTGCTTTTTGTGGACTTCTGCTCTTATTCATGACTCTCACAGTGTATGGCTATAATCACAGACAGAGTATATAATGGAAGCATTAATTCAGTGTGAATGAAAGCAAGAATACTGTATCACCACAATAAAATCCCAGCTATATTAATTTAAAGGGTAGAATTTATTGCACAAGAGCATTCTCTTTAAGAAAAAAAAAGAGAAGAGAATGTCTTTCATCTATGGCCTCAAATGTCTACTTTCATCACGAAGTTGAGTGTAAGATTAATTAATTGGCAAAAACTTTTTAGTGAAATATGTATTCATCTACATTATGAAACTTACAGAGTCTTGGATACTAAGTTGTGATCTTGTGGTTACCATGACATTGATGTTTAGTATGGGCTTAGAAATAGTTACAAGTAATGTGTACTTTTGTGGTACATGACATCAGAGGAGATATCTAATAAATGCCTATTCAATTGTCTGGAACGTGTATTTATTTAGCAAAGATGGAAAAGTCCTGACACATAAAATTTATCACATAAGCTGAATATAAAGATACGTAAGTCAAAAGTATCTTTATTCAGAGTTTTAAACATAATTTGCGTATTTAATATTCATAAACCTTTAGGAAAAGGAAAAGTGGAATTCAATTGGTTTATTTCTACTCTGAAACTATCAAAATTTGACTTTTTGGCTTTCTTCTTCTGATTGGATAAGTTGTAATAGTACATTGTAGACACGTTTAGACAAAGTGTGAATATATTTCTCCCTACGACACTAGATTATCTCTAGGAGTCATGAAAAGGAGTTCTTTATAAATTATACTTCTAATGCTAAAAGAAAGTGTTGTTTTTGGTCTTGTGGGTAAAAAAGCTCCATACCTAAGGGAATGAATTAATTCCTATATTTAATAAGATACAGTCATTAGTAGACAACTTAAGCATTCATTTTAGAACTACATATTGAATTTCTTCAGTATTGTAACAATCTTTAATAGTTCTGGATAATGGAAATTTTTTAATGCATGTGTACCTAAGATGAGAGACAAAAGATAAAGAGAAAGTTATTTCAAAAACAAGGTAAATAACACTACTAATTAAAGATAAAAATCAGTCAATTTCCAAAATTAACTGCACTTGTAGTGCCTCAAACCTAAAATCACTGATCATACCATTTCAATAACTATGTATTGTACATAAGTTTGTTATTTTAAATGACTGTGCTTACCAGAAAAGTATCCAGAGATATCCAATTGCTATGTTTCTATACCCAGACAGCACACGAGGTTCCCTCTTTGCCCCTCGGACCAAGATTTTCTAAGATTTATGCAACAGGAATCTTCCATGAAGTTTGGAGTTACCACAAATGGTTTGATGTGGCATGTAGACTTACTGCAATCTCTGGGTGGAAAGACTGACTGAGCACCCTGGTTGATGCAACCACTCAGAAAAGGCAGTGAAAGTTATGTCTCCAACTCACTGCCAGATAAATGTCATCAGACTCTAAATGCTTATTGACAAGAGCCAGGTTTGAAAAATAGCAAAATCAAAATGGATACTTTAATAGTTTAATATATTATTTATAATGAAAATAAACATGAAAATAAAACAAAAAATTAATTCTTTAGCTTAGCTGAAATATCATTCCTAAGACATTATGTTTTAATTTTATGTATCAGTATCTTACTTGAGGTATTATATAAACAACTGATTTATAAGGTTCAAACTATCTTGTTCATTATTTGTAACAATATCAGCAGCCCATAAGTTCACATATTTGCTATCAGACAGGCACTTTTCAGAATGCTTTGTAAACATTATCAAACTTTGACTGAGGTACGTTTATTCTACATATGAGAAAAATAAGGCTCAGTGAGATTAAATTACTAGTTCAAAGTCACCAAGCTATCCAGAGGCAGAATTGACTTAACAATAATCCTTCATTCTCACCTTGGTTTTCCTTTCATACTAAATTTTCCTAAAGGAAATATTTTAAACTTCTTCTCTAGAAAAAGAAGGAGAAAAGAAGAAAGCTGAGAAGAATGTTACTTCTGTAACAAAAAAGAAAGGTAAGGAATTCAAAAACCATCTACCACGTAAATCCATTAAATTAGTATCTTTTTTTTTCTTTGTTCCTTAAAGAGTATGGAAGATCAGTATCCATTTATAATGCTACTGGTAAAGCTATTATTTTTCTAGAAAAGATATTCCCTTAAATTAGATTTCTAAATATTTCAAATAAAATTGAAATTGATACATTTTTATAAAGAAAATTCAAGCTTAAACACTGTTTGAAAAATTACAACTGTCTGATTGTTTTCCTTAAAGGAAGCTACTCAATTATCTCTAATTCCCTACTTTATTTAACTATATATATAAATTCTATATATAGTTAAGTAAAGAGATTACTATTCAACTCAATTTAATAAAAAATATCCTTCAAAGGAACAAATTATTTTATGTAGAGGGAATAAAGTATTTTATTGATTTGCTATATTTAACTTATTTTCATTGGCTCTTTTCAAATAGTTCATGTGATTTCCCAAGTCAACCTCAAAGATTTTGTAGCTTTTGACATGGTTCCAGTGACCTCATAACCCAGAGAACATTCAATATATTGCTTTTGGCATACTTTAGATGAACTCTTGAATTTGAACATAGTTAATAATGTCATTTAGTGTTTCCTCTGTCATCAAAGAATTTTTTTTTTGCCCTTAACAAAAATTTTGACCTTCCTAAAGAGAAAGTATACTGAAACCACTAGTCTATTATGAATGTGCTAGTTCATTTTTATTTAACATGACTTATGGCTCTGATTTAGAATTCCTCTATCCAAGGTGAATTGGATGCCTCAATGGCAATCATATGTGCCCTTAAACATACAAGTTAAACAGGTAGAGGCTTATAATCTTCTTTTTCTCACCAGCAGAAAAAGAAGATGTCCCAAAGAAAAGTGAGAAGGAAACTGCCATTGATGTGAAAAAAAAAGGTATTGCATAGTTTCCTTAATCAAATTATGCTGAGGGTGTTTGTTTCATGAAAGAATCGTGGTGCAATCTATACAAATTGGATACAGGTTCTAAAATCTGCCCTTAAATAGATGAAATCAAAAATTGATATAGACCCAGGTTAACAGGAAAGGAAGACTATTCAAGGCTATTGCAATAGAGGAGAGAGACCAGAACTGAGTCTGAATTTAATGCCACTGAAAGAAAAAGCAGGAGAGTTTGTAAGATCTGGAATGGGGAATCATAGGCCATATAAAAAAAAGGAAACTTTCTGTCTCACATCTCTATGACAGGAAGTAGTTTCAAAACTTGGAACAAGGTGCCCAAGAAAGTTAGGGTCCTACAGTCCCACAGGAACTGGGAGATAAGGGCACTATCTTAATGATTACATTTCAAAGGGATGGCTCTCAGATTCTTGAGAAAGACCTTCTAGGGCTGTAAAACTTGATAGTGGCTTGTAAAAAGATTTACATCTCAATGAGACAGAGGATGAATTTACAATTACAAGTTTTCTAAAGTAAGTGCTCTAAGAAAAGGAAGGTCAGGACCCTAAGGTCAGAGAAGAAGCCTGTTAAAGTTTAATCAAGCTGAGGGCCATCTTGGTCGAGACATAATGAAATTGAGAAGCGATACATAGTATGATGATACCACTTTGCAAAGATAAGCTGGAGAGAATAATGGATCCTGTTAAGAAATAGGATTATTCAACTATTTGACAGTCTAGATATTTGCTTTAAATTTCATTCTGTTTCAATTTTTGTTCGAACACGAATATTGGCTTCTACTCAGGTTAGGCTAAGTCTACATGAAACAGATAGTCATCTCAAGTATTATGGTTGGGTGATAAGTATTCTCACCTCAAATATTTCCTCAACCAGTGTCAGTGATGCTTGAAATTCTATCATTAGAGCCATTCCAATTTTTTGAGTTATGAAGCAATTGTTCTCTATTAAAATGCAAATCTCCTGAATCCCGTGTATATGGGGTGAAAAACTAATTCCTCTCAGCTATTAGCAACTTAAAGTAAATGAGATTTCCAGATCTTTCCCATGTAATAGCTGAAAACAGTACCCTAGAAAATGAGGTGGTAGGTAAGCTTAAATGTGGGAGAGGCTGCAGAGAGAGCTTCACGGTGGGACATTGTCTGGTGAGGGCAGGCTGAGCTAGATGGCATTTGTGAAAACCACCAGTCTTTTTAGATAGAAATAGTATGTGTGGAAAAAATGGTGGTGGTGAGGACTCTAAAGAGTGAGACCATAGGATGCTCAACTACATAATGATTACTCTTAGCATGTAGCAAATAGAAATAAAAGGAAATCTCTGACATCATGCTGTAAATGGAGTAGAAATAAACATAAAATATTAAGAGTTCCATGATTGTATGGCTCATGAAATGAGCAAGGACAGACAGCTGGACATTCTGTGGGTCTGGGAGTTAATTACCAATTCCTTTGCATCCAAATTTCCATTGTTAAGAGTGTGTTATTTTAGGGTCTATTGTATTGTTGAAATTCATTCATTTTGTTTTAAAATTTTCTTTATTGTTCTGGTGAGATATATAGTTTACCATAGAATGAATAAACAAAATTCTGACTATAACATAATGCTACTAAGAAAATGGTTACTTGGGTCAGTGGATCTATGACAATTACATAATTGGGTGGTAAAGATAAACCAAGGTGCTCCTTCCTGGGCCATTAGTTTTACTAAAGGTGTTGCAGAACAAAGTTTCGAATTGTAATTTTCAAAGCATTTGTCATATATGTGCAAGCGCAAAATCAGAAAAAATGCTTTTGGCAAAACTCGATGATGTGTGTTTGTGTGTGTGTATGTGTGTGTGTGTGCACGTGTCTGTGTGACAGTGTTGTTTTGGTTTGGTTTTAGCTTTTTGAAGGAAAACGCAAAATACATTTGTGTGCAATGAGTCATAGGAAAATCTGATACTTCTTTGCCATTGGGAGACCTATGTTATTAGCCCGGCAGTCACGTCAAAGTGAGGTTGTGCACCACTGGCGAAAGAACTGATTATTCCAATATCACTTCCTGCAAGGACAGTGCTTGGCCACTGAAGCATAGACCAAACTAGGCAATTGCTCAGCACATCTAGGGAGAGCTGCTCAGCTAGTGTTGCAAAACAAGTTTGTCCTTCTTGGAACCAGTTTTCTGCTTGTATGCTTGTCATTTTTACTTTTGATGACACAAAATACCATTGGTTGTCCCAAATCAGTTCAACTTCCTGATGAAAACATGCATAGTTCGATCATTTGTTTACAAGTTCTTAACCCCAAAATACTCAAAATTGTGTGTGTGTGTGTGTGTAAGAGAGAGAGAAATGGAGAGGGAGGGAGACAGAGAGAGAGAGAGAGAAAAGACAGAGAGAGACAAGGGGTCGGGGAGGGAGAGAGAGGAAGAGATAGATTGAGATTCAATTAGTGCCAGTTTTTAACAGTCTTTCTTTTTGGAGTTTAATAATTCTTCAAGTAAATTTTCATGTGGCAGCAATATGGTTTATAAACCAGATTTAAGCTTATTATGAAAGTAGTACAAATTTATAGAGATAATGAGAAAAATTGAGAATAACCTGAAAACTTGAAGGGCTGGGAAACATATGTCATTTCTTCCTAAAATAGAGGAATGTGGCACAGCATGTGATATCACTACTGTAGTCCCAAAGAGTAGCAAATTTACAAGCATAAGATATGCCTACATGCTTCTTTAATATATGTGTTTTATGGTGCTATTTTATTTTATTTATGTTGACTTTTCATATTATTTATATCATATAATATATAAATTTATTTATGTGCTATATTATTTTATTTTGCTCAACTTATATTTTATAATTATGCAGATACAAATGAAACCTAAGGCTGAAATTCTATTGAGTGATATATGAGCCACTACTACATGACACTGGTAAATCACACTTTGCTAATGATCTATGTTAGGGAAAATGTGGGTGGGTTTTATATGATACAAAATTGTCAGCTCATTAATTATTAATGGATGAAACTGAGTAATTGGTACATTAGGGTTAATTATGCTAATCTCTTTTTAGTATATATTTGAAATTATTCATAATTAAAAAATAAATATCTGCCACTCAAAAACATCGTGTGAAATTAAAAAAAGAAAAATCACCAGGATATTTTTTGCAATGTTATAAGGTACATTTCACCAGAAGAAATACCATGGAAAAAAGCAACCACCAAATGAAATAAAGACTTTTAAAAAAATCTCCCTAGGTTTGTATCAGACTTCAATGGTAGAAACACCAAACACAGGGAACTGAGTACCTTTTCAATTCTTCCAGGTGTAGGACTGGAAGAATTGAAATCAGGGGGTGCTACTGGATTATTAAGCACCAGAGCACATCAATAGGTCAGGAAGCTGCTTCATTCAGCAAAGCTGTCTCTTCACAGCCAGCAAGACTAGATACTGGAAATGTTGAGCCAGGCCTTAGTAACTTGCTGACATCTTTATTTGCCAAATCGTTATTCTGGTTTGCAAAACCATTTCTGATTTTTAGTCTCAGGGAGGTATACCTAATTGGTAAATTTAATGTGTCTTCAGAAACCTAGCTGTGATGAGTCTGCAAAATGCAGGTTTTTGGCATTGCAATTTTTCTAGCTAGAAGGAAGGTGAAATGGAAGTTGAAAAAGGCTATCAACAGTATCTATAATAATGATACTTTCAGAAGTACCTGAAAAGATAAAATTAATGTAATAAGAAGAGATGGTTTTTGAAGGCCTGAATTGTAGTGAATAAATCTATCTTTGATTCCCCCTAAAAATGAAAAAGATGATTCGATCAAGCAACATGATCAAATTCAGCAATTTAAAGTGCCCACAAAGCAAACTATACTGTAGTTTATGTTGCCCTTTACCTAAACTATAGATAGTTTAGGAAGCATGTATATTCTTCTTCTTCATTTCAAAGGTTGATGTTTTTGAAGAAATAATTTTTCACCTGCTTGATAAGATTGTAAGACTTCAGAAATCAACAAGTTACTTTGTCTCATAATGAAACAATTATAACCTGGGCAAAATAAATAGACCAACAGAGAAACAAGGCCCAAACTAAGATGACCCAATTCTCTCAGGTTCGCCTTTTGGATTTATAAATTATAGTATTTCTAGAGTTAAATTATTATCACCTTATATATGTATATGCTTATTAATTATAAAAATAATTTTGACATAATAGACGATGGATGATAATCCCATAAAATTATGTTTCATATCACACTTTACAATAGAATTTTTTTCAAGGATGATCTGTATAGAAGTATAAATTATAAGAAGGATCCTGAAACCACAGTAGCTTTCCTGAAATAAGCTGCCAGAAAAGGACCAATTCATTCGTTCATTCACCCGTGCATTCTTGAGGGAAATATTTACCAAATGCCTGCTATGTGCCTAGCTTTGTAGTAGGTGTTGAATACACAGAGGTAGATAAACAGACATAAAATCTGCCCTAATGGCACTTACAATTTGATGATAGAGGCACATGGTAAATAAGGAAACAAAATATCCATAAGAATAACTTGGAGTAAAAGCAATGGAGGAAATAATTTTCAGGCAATGATAGAAAACAATGAATGGAGTAGGGAGCTATTTAAGAATGCAGCCATGTGATGTATGCATGTGGTGTGTGTGTGTGTGTGTGTGTGTGTGTGTGTGTGTGTGTGTGCATGGTTTGTACAAAGGAGCAGAATACACAGAAATGTGTAGGCATTTGGATTTTATCAAAAGGATAATGGAAGATTCTGAGCTGAAGTTTTAAATATAGTAACCTATATAAATCATAGTTAATGCCCTGAGAATAGATAAGGTTACTCAGAGATTCTATGTCAAAAGAAAAAGAAAATAGAATCGAGAATCAAGACTGGGGAGCTCCAACATCTAGAGATTAGATAATGGAAAATAAAGCAAGAGAAACTGAAAGGAATTGCCAGAGAGATTACAGGAAAGGCAAAAGA